GTAGGGATTGAGAATATGGCCTGATGACCTTGAGGAGAACGGAATAACTGACACGGATCATCCACAGAGTAGTTGCCAACCGATCTGATGGAAAGACGATGATACCTATGATGAATGGAGAAACGATGGGGGAGGATAGTTTTTTGACGCTGAAGGTGGTCATGTGAGAGGAGTGTGTATTCTCAGCATCAACGAGTACTCTCCATTTTTTTTGGGTCTATCCAACTATTGGTTCCTTCTGACAATTGTGATGAAGGGCTTGTGGCTGCGATTAGTCACACATAATCTTCTTCCGGAGTATTCTCGGGCCTTTCCAGTGATTTTTTTGACAAAAATGACTATGCTTTCGTATTATCTTTCCACAATCCTTCCTCCCTTGCCTGGAATAATGTATTGAAACAGAGTGTTTATTATTGTGATTTTTTTAGTATGGGGATGTTTCCAACGGGGCTTAGGATTGGGGATAACAGGGGATTTCTCCCCCTAACCTGATGGTCCTATTCTTAATCACCGGTTTTTTTCATTAACCGCTTAATGATATGAATACTYCTAAAATCGCTTAGATTYRTTTTTGTTACCCCTCGCCCCTTATCACCCTHTTTTTCTCTACTTGTCCTTCTTCTTTCCCCTCCCTCTCTCCCTCTCCCTCTCTTCTCTCTCTCTCTCCTTCCTTCGCTCCTTTGTCCCCCGAATAGAATGAGTATACGTCTCATAGACACTGTAGGTAATAAACTGTGAAAAACTATCGAGAGATGCTGATAACTCTGCTTCTACGAATCGCATGAGATGACTGGCGCACACATGGCTCTGACGAGGGATGGTCCTGGGAGCGATAAGGTAGGGGAGCGATGATGACCTGGGATGAGTAATTTTGTCCACAACTAAGGATAGGGTTAGAGTAGCGAATCGGCATATGGTTTGACGACTTCATGAGGGATGCAATCATTAATATAGATGTAGGGTAGTTGGGGGGCCAATGGTGGAGTAGAGCTGGACATCTATGGTAACTGTGGAGATGATGGAAAAAGGGTGACGAGTTCTTTTTAACACTAGATTAAGAGCAAGACCGGGGGGTTAGTTCCTTCCAGCATTCTAATAATGAGCCTTTGGCTACAATTGATCACACGCATTTCTTCCCTTTGAAAGCATGTCTACAAACATTTTTTCTGTTCATTCTTTGATCGGGGTACCAGCTGTGACGCAAATTGTTCTTTTCTCTCTCATCTGAACTAAGTGGATTGAAGCGGCTTGTTCACTTGTTTTTCTTAAGAGGTATGGGGATGTTTCCAATAGGACTTGAGACTTGGTGGTAACAGGAGATTTCACCCACTGATTTGATGCATCGATCTCTGTATTCTTGATCACCCAATCTCTCCTATCACTAGCTTTGGTATGAACACCGCTGAAGCCGGTTATCCATTATAAACCCCGTGATTACATGGAGTAACTGGGGCTTTTGATATTCACGATATCTCCGTTATCGATTCATCACAGCACAACTCAAAGTCACCTGACCTTGAGGGGATCTCTCTTTTTCCTATTTTTTACTCGTCTAGGGGAAAGTTTCTGCTATCTCACTCATATCGCTCATATCCCTCGGACAATGGTCTGAATGATGACTATGAAGACCCTCCCCCTCCCTCCGTGATTACTCAAGTCTTCCTTCTGTCCCTCATAATTTTGATATAAATGGTTGATGCTACTCCTGATTTCCAGATCTTTCTACCGGTTCCTGCCTGACCTCCCGCCCCCATGACTTGACTGATCTTCCTTACCACTCATCTGTGCCTCTTGCTTTTGATATCAGTTTTTTTCCCCCTATCTTTCGGAAAACAGAAAAACATTATGCGCCTACTTGGATATGTGGACCCCATTGGTTATGCATACTAATAGGAGAATACATCTTGTCGGCATTTCATCTCTTCTGCATACCTCTCTGGGTTAAGCAATGCTCCCCATATGGTATGCCATATTTTTATTTATAGGAAGAAGGGTAATACATGAATATCGTCCAATTAATAGTCATGGTCGTCTGAGGAGCATGAGATCCCCTAAGTCTAATATGGCACAGGCCTGAGTGTTTACATTCCTCTGAGATACAAGAGCGAATATGGGACATATTGAACACTCTGGTTAGGGGAACTATAGGACAGTCCTTTTTCATCACCAAACGCCTCGGAGTCCTTGATATTTTTCGAGGATGTCCTCAGGTATATGAGGATAATTTCCTTCTTTCTTCTTTTTCCTTTTTCAACACATTTTGGAATATCTGAACTTTTCCAGTTCTCAGCTCCTGTTCCCCTCTACCCCTAGTCCTGCCCATCCCTAACCACCCTCTGGGATTGGAAAAACACTCCTCTGGATCCTTTGCCTGATAAGGATACTGGGTCATGGATAGACTGTCGTACCATGGCTTGCCATGGAGTTTCTTAGCACTATGTGCTATGCGTATTATGACACACACACCTGGGGCATGCCCCAAGTTCAACTGTACCGGGGTTGATTCCCTGGACTGCGGCATGAGCTATTCCAGAATCCCGTTATGTATCCATGTATAATCCATGTCATGGCAGACGACTTCTCGTTATCATGTATGAGGAAATGGGTTCTGCTGTTTTCATACAGATGTTTTGCTCAACTTCTCCTGGTTACTCACCCATGAAAGGGAATTCATGTTTTGTCCTCTTCCCCTCCCCCTATTAACCCCAAAAAAATTCATATCATGACCCCTTACTCATAATTAGGATATCGAGGATGGTGGTGTCTTACCTGGAGGATGGTGGGAGGAAACTGTTTGAAGGAACCCCTTCCTTCTTGAACTAACCCCAGCCTCTAAGTCTACGCAATCACTCATCAACATCTTGAAACCAGGAATGATGGAAATTTTTCGCACGAGAACAGAAGTTGGGCAAATGCCCCTGCTCACCGAAACATTCCTCTTCAACGAATGGGCTGACCTTGCGTGGACATTCGAGAACAAACGTGGGGAGTTTGATGCGGCACTCAGGGAATATGTTGGAAAGTCTGGGCTGAGGAAGCGCACCCTGGAACAGGAAATTGCGTCACGACTGGACAGGATCGACAAAATGCAGAAGCTGTACCTTGAAATATGGAAGGAACCCGCACCTCAGCCTACCCCTGTTGATATCGACCCTACTATCAACATTGTGGACAGCTTTGACAACCCTGAGGAAAGGGAGGAGTTGGAACAGCTCCTTAGGGCCCCTGCCATGATCCCGAGGAGGCGCCGCTCCTCCACTGGAGGTAGTAACAATGATAAGAACTTCTTGTCTATGGCCTCTCCTCAGTGGGTGGAGCAAATGGCCAGGCAACATGACTCACGTGTCTGGATGCTTGACTCGTTTAATCACCTTGCACCCATCGATCACAGGGGATACCGTTTTCTGGGCAATCTCTTGGGAGCAGAAATCAAGGAATGCAGAGATGATGCGTTTAACGGGACTCTTCACCGACAGGGTCATGGGAATCCAGCGTTCAACGATGAGAACAACCCACTGCCCCCCATGAGTCAGTTTGATCCAACCAGGTGCTCTCGCTCCGCACCTAGTGTCATGCAGAAATGCAAACCTTCCCAGATCACCAGTGAACACAAAGTGCTCCGAAAATTTTGGAACTTTGGGAGGCCTTATCTGAAGTGTGGGTGTGGCTATGGTGGGAAGAAGTCATGTGAGGGTGGAGCAATCTGGTTGGATCATGCTATCTGGTATCTGCTTTCCCATCCTGAGATGGTCCGCCCAGAAGCTGGATCCAACAAAGTGAGGATTGGATACTTGCTTCACCTTCTTAGGGGACCATGGAAACCCCTGATTAAACTCTGCCTCACATTCCTCTGCATGCGTGATGTCATGAATGCCGTCACACTGACACTGGAGAAAAATCCGGACACCATGTCTGGTTCCATCTTCGGTAGGCTCCCTTTCGCGAAGAAACCCTTCGCTATGCTCATGGGCAGTGCCCTTCTTCCATCAAGAGCCACTTTTCTCCCTCAAGCTCTTGAAGCCTCCACTGGAAAAAGGAAAAGGTCTTCTCCGAAAAATAAAAGGATGAAGGATCCTGAGGAGGAGAACCTCTCACAGAGGAGCCTCCTTCTCTTCTTCAAAAAAGGAGCTGCAGGAACGGGTCAGTCTGAATCATCTGGCACGGCTGTAGAACGTGTGTCTTCCACACCGGAGTCTGATGACATGGACATGCTAATTGTCGATTGATTACGTGTGCTTTGGCTATATGAACAGTGACACTATCTACGGAAGTCATTCCTCGTGCAGAGAAGCCTGCCCCCTGGAAGAAGTTTGGCGGAAACAATGGCACAGTTCATCATCAGACCTGTGGTGCACCAATCCTCCCTGTTTCGCTCCATCACCACGGATCATGGGGACAAAGCCAGACTAGTAAGGAAGGGCTATTGGTGTGGCCAGTATGACCTAGCCCACCCCTCTATCACCCTGTCCCAGGAAACGCTTGATTTACTCGTCTCGAGCAATGAAACTGCCCAAGTAGCTAGCTCCACGCTTGATATCATGGTACATGGGGTAGCCCTGGGCGAATTGCAAGTTTCTGGTATAAACACTGGTCAGAGGATGTTACATCTTCGACTCACACGGGTCCTACCGGACCCGACTTAGGGCCGGAGGGACACACCAGGGCCTAAAGGCCCGACCTTTGGGATTAATAGTTCAAAAATTGTGAATTCATTGGATCACAATTTTTTTTAGAAAATATAAAAAAGCGTTTTTCTACAGTTTGCCAATTTTGTTGTTATGGAATTTAATAGAGTTAATATTCAAAATTATTGTAAAACTATTTTATTTTTGTTTTTTCTATAAATATTTACAAATTATAGTTCCATGTATTGGTTTAGCATTACTTAGCTTGTACATTTTTTAATTAGTTGCGAAAATTACCAAATTCAT